CTCCTCTGGCAGATGCTCCAAAGTTTCAGCCCTCTGGCCAGTCCACCATCTCTTCCAAGCTTCCCGGGCAGCCGGGGTTTCCCACTGGAGCCTGTCACCTTGTGGGCACAACCCCCTTATCACAGTATTAACGGCCTGATGTGGGGAGAGGCCCCTCCCTTGGACCACCCGGCTCAGCACAGGCCACTGAGGGGTGGTTTTTGAAGCAGCTCAAACTCCTGCACGTGCTGCTGCTGTTTCTGTCACAGTGGGAGTGTCACAGAACCCACCAGAACCACCCGGGAGAAAGCAGCAGCTTCCAGGTACTGGACCTGCACAGCCACAGTTGAACTCAAACAAAGAAGAAAGCCAGTTCGTTGCCGCAGTTGGTGTAAAATTAGCATTTATTCATTATTCAAAATTACTAATCCTCTGAGCAATTTGTTCATAGCAGACACACTCTACACACGTTCAGTCCTGTGCTACAGGAAAGACGTCAGAAACTAGACCTTCACCTTCTATGGTGGAAAGGGTTTGCTTTCCCCAAACTGACCTTTTGCTTCTATTTTAGCTTCTATGAAATCCCAGTAGCAGAGGCACAACTGCAAATGAAAATTTAATCAGAAAGAGCCTTGATCTCAGTGAGGGCCAGAGGGCGTTGCAGAAGCTCATGTTTTCTCAGACACGCTTGAGGCATCATTCCCCTACCACGTTCTTTTCACAAAAACAGCCCAGGATCACCCAAGAAATGCTCCTTGGGAGAACGCCTTCAGGACCTTTTCCTGCCTGGAGGTCACCCAGCCAGAATCAGAGGACGAATCCAGAGAATCCAGGCTCACGGGCCTGGATTTTTCTTGCATCTGGCACCTGGTGGTTCTTGCGAGACCCGGGCACTCGGCCCAAGCTGCCACCGGGGCTATTTCATACCATGAACAGCACATTCCATATCAGTTAGAAAGTTTGCTGAGGAGTTTCTCTCTCCCCCTCGATGGCTGGGATCCAGAAAACTCAACGGGCCTGGATTTTTCTTGCATCTGGCACCTGGTGGTTCTTCAGCACACACATGGAGTCTGCAGCACACAGCACACACACGGAGTCTGCAGCACACAGCACACACACGGAGCATGCAGCACACAGCACACACACGGGGTCTGCAGCACACACACACACACGGAGCGCCGGGAGCGAGACCCGGGCACTCGGCCCAAGCTGCCACCGGGGCTATTTCATACCATGAACAGCACATTCCATATCAGTTAGAAAGTTTGCTGAGGAGTTTCTCTCTCCCCCTCGATGGCTGGGATCCAGAAAACTCAGAGCCCTGAGCCCTTCCCTTCCTCCCGGAGCCGCGGCGCTCGCAGGGTCCCCCATGGGCTGTCCCTGCGGGGAGAGCACGGCGTCCTGGGATGGGATGGGCTGGGACAGGCCTGGTGGGTTTTATATCGGTATCGGGATCGACAGTTGGGCTGGGACAGGCCTGGTGGGTTTTATATCGGTATCGGGACAGACAGCGTGCCGGACCCTGAGCCCTTCCCTTCCCCCCGGCGTCCTGTGATGGGATGGGACAGTCCTGGTGGGTTTTATATCGGTATCGGGATCGACAGTGGTTCTTTAGTGTTATTGGTATTAATTGTTTACTCTCATCCTGTTAAATCTATTTATGCCTCAACCCTCACGTTTCCCCGATTCTCCTTCCTTGGGGGCGGTCAGTGGGTGACAGAATAGTTGTCTAAACAATAAATTGTTGTGGGTTTCTGAAACGGGAACAGACTCGTGGGTGCAGGAGCACCTAGTGACTGATTTCTACCCCCGGGTTCTCTGCCCGGGCAGCAGTTCCCTGCCGTTATTCCAAAACCCAGATGAGTTGACCTGCTCACTGCCAGCTGGTCCCCTGCCATTGCTGCATCACCCCCCAGAGCCTTCCCCACCGTCACACACGGGGTCTGCAGCACACACACACACGGAGCCTGCAGCACGCAGCACACACACGGGGTGAGTGTGCTGCCAGCTGGTCCCCTGCCATTGCTGCATCACCCCCCAGAGCCTTCCCCACCGTCCAGGGGTCAGTACAGAGATTCTTCTCCTTCATGTGGGAAATAAGCTCAGTTTTGCTTCAGCTAAATGATGTATCATTGTTAGTGTGATAGTACTAACAAAGAAGCCTTAGTAATAGTAGAGTCTAATAAATTATATCCAATTAATCCCCAGAAATGCCCTCGGTCTGTCAAGGGATCCTTGTTTGCAGAGCGTTATCTAGGGGAAGAGAAACAGACTGGAACATGGCCTTCAACACAAAAACCCAAAGGGTAGGGGAGTATCATTAAGGCCAAAGAAACCAGTCTGGTAAATCTGCCAAGTAGATGGTAGCAAAGACTCTGAAATAACGTGTAGCTTAATCATCTAATCAAAGGCGTGTTTAGGATAATGATTTCATAGAATAGGTGTATGTGTGCCTTATATGGGACAGCACACACACGGAGCCTGCAGCACACAGCACACACACGGGGTCTGCAGCACACAGCACACACACGGAGCATGCAGCACACAGCACACACATGGGGTCTGCAGCACACACACACACACGCAGCGTGCAGCACACAGCACACACACGGGGTCGGCAGCACACACACACACGGAGCCTGCAGCACGCAGCAGACACACGGGGTGAGTGTGCAGCACGCAGCACACACACGGGGTCTGCAGGACACAGCACACAGCACACACACACGGAGTCGGGTTCTCTGCCCGGGCAGCAGTTCCCTGCCGTTATTCCAAAACCCAGATGAGTTGACCTGCTCACTGCCAGCTGGTCCCTGCCATTGCTGCATCACCCCCCGGAGCCTTCCCCACCACCCAGGGGTCAGTACAGAGATTCTTCTCCTTCATGTGGGAAATAAGCTCAGTTTTGCTTCAGCTAATTGATGTATCATTGTTAGTGTGATAGTACTAACAAAGAAGCCTTAGTAATAGTAGAGTCTAATAAATTATATCCAATTAATCCCCAGAAATGCCCTCGGTCTGTCAAGGGATCCTTGTTTGCAGAGCGTTATCTAGGGGAAGAGAAACAGACTGGAACATGGCCTTCAACACAAAAACCCAAAGGGTAGGGGAGTATCAATAAGGCCAAAGAAACCAGTCTGGTAAATCTGCCAAGTAGATGGTAGCAAAGACTCTGAAATAACGTGTAGCTTAATCATCTAATCAAAGGCGTGTTTAGGATAATGATTTCATAGAATAGGTGTATGTGTGCCTTATATGGGAAAAAGTGCAAAATAAACCTGTAATAGGTCAAGCGGTCAGGAAGAATGTGAGCTCCAACTTCTCAGCCCGTGAGAAGGGAGACAGAAACTCAAGCGGCCGGGATAAAGGTATAAAATACCTGACAGCTAAAAGACCATCGTGCATCTATTTTTGGTGCACCCGATTCAGCGCTGTTTCATATTAATAAATTACTATTTTTTTTAACCTTCGCTTCGGTGACTTTGTCCTCTTTAAATTCTAAGATGTGAGTCAGTGTTTCTCACATTCAGCAACCCCTGAAGCCGGCTGGATGGCTCTCCCTTCTGCCAACAGACTCGATTCACCTTCTCTTTCAGCAGCCACTTGGTGTGTAGGACCCCGCGCAGCAGCTTTCCATCTCCAGCGGTTTCCCCCAATTCCAGAGGGCTCCCTGCTTTTCACTCGCTGGTCCTCTACTGTTCAGGGCTTCTTCAGCACGAGTGGCCTCCTCTGGCAGATGCTCCAAAGTTTCAGCCCTCTGGCCAGTCCACCATCTCTTCCAAGCTTCCCGGGCAGCCGGGGTTTCCCACTGGAGCCTGTCGCCTTGTGGGCACAACCCCCTTATCACTGTATTAACGGCCTGATGTGGGGAGAGGCCCCTCCCTTGGACCACCTGGCTCAGCACAGGCCACTGAGGGGTGGTTTCTGAAGCAGCTCAAACTCCTGCACGTGCTGCTGCTGTTTCTGTCACAGTGGGAGTGTCACAGAACCCACCAGAACCACCCGGGAGAAAGCAACAGCTTCCAGGTACTGGACCTGCACAGCCAGGGTTAAACTCAAACAAAGAAGAAAGCCAGTTCGTTGCCGCAGTTGGTGTAAAATTAGCATTTATTCATTATTCAAAATTACTAATCCTCTGAGCAATTTGTTCATAGCAGACACACTCTACACACGTTCAGTCCTGTGCTACAGGAAAGACGTCAGAAACTAGACCTTCACCTTCTATGGTGGAAAGGGTTTGCTTTCCCCAAACTGACCTTTTGCTTCTATTTTAGCTTCTATGAAATCCCAGTAGCAGAGGCACAACTGCAAATGAAAATTTAATCAGAAAGAGCCTTGATCTCAGTGAGGGCCAGAGGGCGTTGCAGAAGCTCATGTTTTCTCAGACACGCTTGAGGCATCATTCCCCTACCACGTTCTTTTCACAAAAACAGCCCAGGATCACCCAAGAAATGCTCCTTGGGAGAACGCCTTCAGGACCTTTTCCTGCCTGGAGGTCACCCAGCCAGAATCAGAGGACGAATCCAGAGAATCCAGGCTCACGGGCCTGGATTTTTCTTGCATCTGGCACCTGGTGGTTCTTCAGCACACACATGGAGTCTGCAGCACACAGCACACACATGGAGTCTGCAGCACACAGCACACACACGGAGTGTGCAGCACACAGCACACACATGGGGTCTGCAGCACACAGCACACACACGGAGCCTGCAGCACACAGCACACACACGGGGTCTGCAGCACACAGCACACACACGGAGCCTGCAGCACACAGCACACACACGGGGTCTGCAGCACACAGCACACACACGGAGCATGCAGCACACAGCACACACATGGGGTCTGCAGCACACACACACACACGGAGCGTGCAGCACACAGCACACACACGGGGTCTGCAGCACACACACACACGGAGCCTGCAGCACGCAGCAGACACACGGGGTGAGTGTGCAGCACGCAGCACACACACGGGGTCTGCAGGACACAGCACACAGCACACACACACGGAGTGAGTCTGCAGCACACAGCACACACACGGAGCCTGCAGCACACAGCACACACACGGAGCCTGCAGCACACCAGTGCCCAGATGAAAGAGCCAGTCTGTTGCTCACTGGAGGCACCGAAGACACACTACGAAGCGCTACGCGTAAATACCCTTCAGAAAATTCCAGACAATCACAGCGAGTCAGTCCCATAAAGGGCCTAGAACTGCATCTTCCCAGGCACTGGGTGTTCATCTGAAGTCTAAGGAGGACACTTGACTGCCTGGACTTTCTATCATCATTACTTCTTGCCCATTTTAGAAAAAGGTCCCATTTATTACAAGTACTTAACGCTAAGATATTAAAGTGATCTGGAATTCTCTGAAACACATTCTTAGACTTATTCACTACCGCATGCAAAATTTAAGCATGTAGTAGTAAATACTACTTCATCAAGAAAGGAAACGTATCGAGAAATTACAAGGAATTTTGAAGCCTAGTTTTTAAAGCAAAATCAGCACTGAGCTTGCGCATGACTTCCCCGTGGCTCAGCCCGCGCTGCTCTCTCTTGGTAACTCTGTAGTTTTCTTTCACGTAGTTGGCAAAGGGCGTCAGGGGTGTCCGAGCAGGAGTGCCACCCTTCCCCGGGGGCTGGCTCAGCACCAGCTGCCCCCCGCAGAACGCACACACGAAGCGCGCGCTGTCCAGAGACTTGGAATGACGCCCGATCCTGAAACGGGACAAACAGGCACTTTGATTTCGTACTCGCAGCAGGACAGTGCTTTGTGGGAGAGAGCTCCTTTCCCTTCTGCCAGGCTACCTAGGTCAGATTTGTAAGCTAGTGTTTTACAACAGGAAACAGACTACACACTTCATACAGCACAACAGTGACATCTCTATTACACACTTTTAAACCCAAGGGCTTTTTCCACTGCCTTTTCAGCTTGGTTCCTTCCTCTGTCTCTTTTACTCTCAGCCTAGTAGCACAAAGTGCTACTCAGCACTGGGGAGGCCACACCTCGAGTATTGTGTCCAGTTCTGGGCACCTCAATCCAAGAGAGATCTGGAGGTGCTGGAGCGAGTGCAGAGGAGGGCAACGAAGCTGGTGAGGGGGCTGGAAAACAAATCGTATGAGGAGCGGCTGAGGGAGTTGGGGCTGTTTAGTGTGAGGAAGAGGAGGCTGAGAGGAGACCTCATCACTCTCTACAACTATGTGAAAGGACACTGTAGAGAGGTTGGTGCTGGTCTCTTCTCACAGGTAATTAGTGACAGAACGAGAGGGAACGGCTTCAAGCTCCAACAGGGGAGGTTTAGACTGAACATTAGGAAGGAATTTTTCACTGAAAGAGTGGTCGGGCATTGGAACAGGCTGCCCAGGGAGGGGGTGGAGTCCCCATCCCTGGCTGTGTTTAAGGGCCGTTTAGATGCAGTGCTGAGGGACATGGTGTAGGGGAGGACTTTGTAGAGTAGGGGAGATGGTTGGACTCGATGATCCCAAGGGTCTCTTCCAACCTAGACAATTCTACGATTCTATGATTCTAACACTTTGAAAGGCCTCCACACACCACGTATCAACTACCTCTTGGAGTTTCTCCTCAAAGCCATCAACCATTATATCTTCTCAAATCAATGCTCTGTTGCACGTAAGCAACTAACGCATTGCATATTCCTATTGAACACTTCAGGAAGATTCTGTCATAAGTGAAATACTTTGCCTTCTAGTGCTTCTGGAAGTAGCACATATGATCCTGAAAAAAAAAAAAGAAATCCCATGCACGCTTCCTAAGCCTGCATTTAGCCCCTAAAGTTAGTGGGGAAAGGGGAGAATAATAATAATTAAAAAAAAAAAAATCACACCTTTGTCAGCCACTTTCTTGAGCTATTGCAGGACTGAATTCACAAAACTTCATGCTCTCCCACTGAGGCTGAGGTCATTACACACAGAGCTCTGTGGTCAGCTACAATCTTCCAGAAAAGGCACCCCCTTCCATACCCGAGGAAGGTAAGAAACCTGTGATGTCACTATAGCAACTATTTCCTCTGCTTGATCTCAGCACAACACAGGGTTCTCATTTCACACATGCAGTGAGTGAGACAGAAGCCTGATGAGTTACTGTTGCAATCCATCAGTCGATCTGTGTCACAGCTTCCATCCTGCACAGCACGGTGTGGCTACAGACATCTATTCTTCCTTCAGTACCTACACAGTTGGGCACCTCAATCCAAGAGAGATCTGGAGGTGCTGGAGCGAGTGCAGAGGAGGGCAACGAAGCTGGTGAGGGGGCTGGAAAACAAATCGTATGAGGAGCGGCTGAGGGAGTTGGGGCTGTTTAGTGTGAGGAAGAGGAGGCTGAGAGGAGACCTCATCACTCTCTACAACTATGTGAAAGGACACTGTAGAGAGGTTGGTGCTGGTCTCTTCTCACAGGTAATTAGTGACAGAACGAGAGGGAACGGCTTCAAGCTCCAACAGGGGAGGTTTAGACTGAACATTAGGAAGGAATTTTTCACTGAAAGAGTGGTCGGGCATTGGAACAGGCTGCCCAGGGAGGGGGTGGAGTCCCCATCCCTGGCTGTGTTTAAGGGCCGTTTAGATGCAGTGCTGAGGGACATGGTGTAGGGGAGGACTTTGTAGAGTAGGGGAGATGGTTGGACTCGATGATCCCAAGGGTCTCTTCCAACCTAGACAATTCTACGATTCTATGATTCTAACACTTTGAAAGGCCTCCACACACCACGTATCAACTACCTCTTGGAGTTTCTCCTCAAAGCCATCAACCATTATATCTTCTCAAATCAATGCTCTGTTGCACGTAAGCAACTAACGCATTGCATATTCCTATTGAACACTTCAGGAAGATTCTGTCATAAGTGAAATACTTTGCCTTCTAGTGCTTCTGGAAGTAGCACATATGATCCTGAAAAAAAAAAAAACCAGAAATCCCATGCACGCTTCCTAAGCCTGCATTTAGCCCCTAAAGTTAGTGGGGAAAGGGGAGAATAATAATAATTAAAAAAAAAAAAATCACACCTTTGTCAGCCACTTTCTTGAGCTATTGCAGGACTGAATTCACAAAACTTCATGCTCTCCCACTGAGGCTGAGGTCATTACACACAGAGCTCTGTGGTCAGCTACAATCTTCCAGAAAAGGCACCCCCTTCCATACCCGAGGAAGGTAAGAAACCTGTTACTATAGCAACTATTTCCTCTGCTTGATCTCAGCACAACACAGGGTTCTCATTTCACACATGCAGTGAGTGAGACAGAAGCCTGATGAGTTACTGTTGCAATTCATCAGTAGATCTGTGTCACAGCTTCCATCCTTCACAGCACGGTGTGGCTACAGACATCTATTCTTCCTTCAGTACCTACACAGGCTGAGAGGGCCCAGGAGGTAGAAGATCAACTAGAAAACTGACTGTAGCTTTTAGAGAGTTCTAAACCAATGGAAATTATTATATTGTTGGTCTCTGCATTTTACTTAGCGCTACCATAGCAATGATACAAGATCAGTCGAAATGTTTAGTCTTAATTCAAAATCATCAAGTTACAAACCCCAGAAAGCTCCCTTTGATGCTTTGTTCTAATATCTGATTATTGTCACACCTTTTGTGCACTGTTTTTATGGGGCCTTATTCTACTTTTGAATTCCAGTTACTACTGACTTCTTTCAGCATCAGATGGTCCTCAGTACCTTTACAAGGGCAAGCACATAGGAAGTAACTCAGTCCACCACGCCAGGCCTAGCACTCCCTTTGGGGACTGTTTTTCCTTAGATTAAACCTCGAGTGTTGTCATGGCACATTCCAAGGTGTTACTTTGTAAAATGCAAAATGTGGAGAGATTTCAAAAGAACTTGGAATACTTCATTTCTGCAACACATGCTAGTACTGGGCTTACAGGCATTCTATAGGGATGTGCCAGATCATAGAATCATGGAACGGTTTGGGTTGGAAGGGACCTTAAAGATCATAGAGTTCCCTGGGCAGGGACACCTCCCACCAGACCAGGTTGCTCCAAGCCCCCTCCAGCCTGGCCTTGAACCCCTCCAGGGATGGGGCAGCCACAGCTTCTCTGGGCAACCTGGGCCAGTGTCTCAGATCCATCAAAGAAGGTCACAAGTATTACTCCTGATGAAGTACTTAGTATTAAGACTGGCAGCACTGCCCCCTACCATCAGTGTTGATCATGAAATCAGAGATGAGTCATCCAAAACTCAAGTTCACTCAATGTTCACAGTAGAAAGTGAACGCAAATTTACATCATTTGAGCAATGTTTGAAAAGTGAGAGCAGCCACATGGGGTGTGACCTTTCTCTGCCATGTCTGTCAAAGCTGAGGAATGTATTCTGATCTCTTACTGCTTCCCAAGGACCATCACCATCATCACCAACAGTCCTCATAAGACACTTCTGCCTGTCCTGACCTCTGTACTGGAACTGAAACTAGCTGGAAACAAATACGTGGAATCACCTAGCGAGGTTCTGTGGGCTATGGGATATGTGAAGTGACAACTCAAAGAGTATCCCAATTGCTTCCCAGTGTAAGGGATCCGTGATTTCTAGACACAGGAGACTGCCAGGTTAGAGAATCATAGAATCATAGAATCATTGAGGTTGGAAGAGACCCTTGGGATCAT